CATCATCACTGCACGTCTAAACTGGAAACGTGTCTGAATAGGCATCCATCCTAAGCGACTAAACATATCATTTGAAGATACTTCAAATCCTTCTCACAGCACTACACGTGCAGCTCGTGTCAGGGGTATATACTAATGCAATTAATCTGTTCGCAAAATGGATAAAGAGCCTTTAAGGTCATTTCCTAAATACAACACCTACTTCCTTCTCATCATTACTGCTTTGTTTACTAATAATACTCCGACCTTATTAATTATAAGACTAAACATATCATTTGAAGATACTTCAAATGCTTCTCCCAGCACTACACGTGCAGCTCGTTTGCTAATCTTTTGTAATTTAATCGTTTGTCTTTGAAATCGCTCAGACCACACCGAGGAACAATAATCAAAATGAGGAAGTACGATGGCATTATACAGAAGTTTCAGAGATTTGGCTCGCTTAATTACACTTATATTTCTTTGAGCAGTTTTAATAACTTTTCCACATTCTCTGTCCAACGTAACTCCTCGTCATTCATGACACCCAGGCATTTTGCCATTTTTACTCTTCAAACAGCTGCCGTTTAGTGTGACAGAAATATCATTTACTTCGTTAAGAACTGATCGTGATCCAATAAGCATCGCATTTGTGTTATCCGCATTAAGAACTAGACGGTTTGTTGTTACCCATGAAAATAAATTTTCCATGCCTTTGGTAAGCTTTTGTTCTACTTCTGTGACATTACTCCCGCTGACTGTTAGAGTTGTGTCGTCAGAATCGAACCTTGTGGGACTCCCATCATAATATTTAACACGGAATACCTTCACGCACAATGTGCATTATCTCCACTCCCGGGGGAGTATTCCTACCATATGGTCACGGTGACGGCATAGGCAATTACCAACACAACTATAGATGAAGTGTGGTTGACAAATAATATTTAAAACTGGTTTCTGGTATAGTAAGCTCTCAGTAATGTCAGCAACCGGAAGCCAGTATAATTCGTTTAACGATGAGTATAACATAGTACCTTTGAGTTTTCGACAGAATTCAGTGACAGATAATAGAACAATAGACATACATCACTGATTAATACACTTGGAGAGGTTAACCTTTATGAAGTACCGAAGGGTGACTTCATAGTCGCCAAGGTTGCTGGTTCCAAACAAATTCGTGCTGTTCCAAACAATGGCGATGTGAGTCACACCAGTGCCAAACACTGAATTCGCCCTGCACCTACCAGCCCGTTGCTTCGGTTCAGTTCAGTTTATTAAAAACCACAATGGCATAGTAATCATGACGAACAAACATGATCCAAATTGAATGATTTCGCGGTGATTCTCATTCAATTCAATTCAAATTAGGTTTTATTCAATCTCGTCAAAAAGTCCAAAGACTAAAATTACGAGTTACATCAAACATGCGCAAGTTGTTTAAAACCAGTAACCTGGACGACGATCGAATATATATGACGTCACCACTTCAGTACTCTATAGTCAATAAACATACCATCATAATTCCATGATTATAATGCAATGTGGACTTTCAGGCAGTCAATTAAAAAGAGCGAAGCATGTGATTCTCACCATTATCTCCTTGACATGGCAAAACAAAATGATATTCATCTGCTGGTAGTACACGCACATGTATACAATGCTTATTCATTAACCCTTCCCCTCCTGTTACAGTTAGCTTAAACCATCACACATTTATTGCACCCATAGCTGTGTTTCTCTCTCTCTCTCTCTCTCGCTCTCTCTCTCTCTCTATCTCTCTCTCTCTGTCTGACTGTCTCTGTTTGTAGGTATGACTGGGTTAAACTATAAGAAAAATTATTTAGATTATAATGTGTCAAGTTTCCAATGCAAAAGAAAGTTGTTAAAGCGTTTATGAAAATGTATCTGTCTGTCCCTCTCTTACTCTTATACTCTCTCTCTCTCTCTCTACGACATGTATAATAGCTATTGACATTGAAAGCTGTAATTTAGACGATGACATTGAGTAAAGTACACGGCTCCAATATTTCTGACGAAGATCCGCACACTAACATATTTGCACCTGGCCTACATTTTGTCGGAAGCCCGAGATAGGGTTATGATTTTATTTTGTAAAAAGGAAACTGAATATTCTTCTTTTTTCATTCTCTCCCCCTCTCTCTCTCTCTCTCTCTCTCTCTCTCTCTCTCTTTCTCTTTTCCCTCCCTCTCTCTCTCTCTCTCTCTTTCTCTTTCTCTCTCTCTCTTTTTCTCTCTCCTTCTCTTCTCTCTCTCTCTCTCTCTCTCTCTCTCTCTCTCTCTCTCTCTATATGTCTCTCTCTAACGCCATCTCTTAACCTCTACCGCACGAGGTGTTTCAAGCATCAACTAACTCACATTAAATAATTTTCTAATCATAACTATGATCATGAGTGAGGGTATATTCAAATCATAATTTCGCGAGGAAATGGACCAACAAATTATCTCATATCATAACTAGGTGAAGTGGTCGTTAGATTTCATTCCGTCAGCGTATCACAGTCATGTATATCAAGGCGAGAACTATAAACGGACGATCCTGTACAGTCATTTTATATTTTAGCTCTTGGTGAAGTCGTATAATGATTTTGAACTTTTCTTTAAAGATGAACTCATATCTAGTTATATCACGCATTTGGTCTAATTGTCAGTCGGTCTAATTTCTGGTTTGTCTAATGCCCAAATCTCCTACCATCTATGATAAGGTCTAATAATCATTTGATGATTATTATTGTTTATAAGACGTGAATCCTAATCAATGATTGGTTGAGAGCGTACAAGTGACCAGTCATTTATTTTGCCTAACACATAATTTTGATAACGACCGGTCATTATCAAATGCTAATGACCGGTCATTAGTAAAATCATGTTATGAAACATCATTTTATGAAACAAATAAAACGTAATCTTATAAAACCAATAATACACATCATTTTGTTCGGGCATTAGTAAAATTACCCACACTCGGTACCTTCAAATCAGTCCAAACACCCTCGGCTATCGCCTCGGGCGTGTTAGACTGTTCCAAAGATACATTGTGTGGGTAATTGTTACTATGCCCTCACTGCTGTGTATTATTTGTATATTATGATTGCTAAAAATTACGTAATCGTATCCAATACTGATTTTTTTTAATGATTCAAACGGTATTCTCTTGAAATTACCACCAGCCCGTATGATATACCTGCATTACAATTTCTAGATCACCAGAAGGAGTTAATATTTCTGTTATCACTAAAAGGTTACCGTTATTTTGTCATTGGCGAGGAATGTGCAGGGAGTAGACTCAGAGGGCTCCTGGTGATAATCCCTCCTCCCCGCCCTCTTCTCATCGAATGATATGAATATAACATCATTAACTTTAAACCTGCCTCTTAATATATTGACAGACGTTACTATTATTCTAGTTAGAAACCGCCCCCACCCCTACCATTTGCTCTATCTCGCTTAATAGCTAGTTTCCTTCTCCATTTTTTAAAGTTTAATATAAGGTTGCCAGTACATTAAGCTTCATGCTTATACAGTCAAACCTGTCTATAGCGACCGCCCAAGGGAAACACAAAAAGTGGCCTTTGTAGACAGGTGGTCTTTGTAGACAGGTTCCTTTAGAACATGATTCAATGAGAAACCATTTTCAAGGGAAACAACAAATGTGGCCTTTGTAGACAGGTGGTCTTCGTAGACAGGTGGTCACTAAAGCAGGTTTAACTGTATTGTATCCCTCCTCAGGCGAGGACGCAGGTTCGAAACTGAGTCACGTCTTTCGGATGGTGACCCAATACACACACACACTCATGTATTTGTTATTCATGTATGCGTTAAGCGTGTAAATTAATTTGTAATACCCTTATCTGATTTCTATACAATGCCATGTACTGTATTAGATAAATGCATCAAATTTACAAGAGAATCACATGTAAATGTCACGTTAATGCTCATGAATATGTATGCTTGAAAAGATGACATAGAAAGCAATCAATCAATTATCAATTACCCATAATGTCAACAATAATCGTAATTCCTCGACGTAAATTTCCTTCCCCCGTACATATTAGGCCTATTGTTTGATCACTATAGGCCTAAGCTGTAGATTAGCTCATTTTGATCGATTGTCGAATGGTGAGTTACAGAATTAATCACGAACCATTATAAAGAGTCAGGAGAAAAAAAGGTTTAATTAAATGAATTTTTCAATGTGTACAATCGTTAAGAGTGACTCAGACTGAACTATATAAAAGGAGTTGTTATGATTCAAAATTTATCACAATTAATTAATTAACCATCCCCTGCAATAATCAGACTCGCTACAACTGATTGTACCGTGACAACGCGGTTCATTAGCTTGACTCTCGAAGAAGGATGAAGGTTCGAGTCCCTGTCCGGTTCGTATACCCTTAGACAATAGGGACTTTTAGATTCTGCACGACGAGAACGTGGACTGCCCTTTTAAGGCAATGTGACGTCACTGCCAGTGCCTTAAAAGGACGTCACATTGCCTTAAAAGGGCAGTCCACATTCTCGTTGTGCAGAATCTAAAAGTCCCTAATGTTTAATATCTTGATCTACCCTTTTAAGGGCAAAGCGCGCTTATAATGGTTGCCGGAGCTAAAACAAGGGAATAATTTACAAAGCACTTAGCGCTTAGAGACTTAGAGGCTTAGAGAAAGTGCTTTATAAGCACCGTTTGTATTATTTATTTAATGTTGGGGACCTACAGCTCATAGATAGGCTTATTCATGATCTATCTTGCACATGGAAACAAACAGCATCATCACCAATAATTAACAACTACAAAAGTGTTCACATCGACAACCCAGCGACACACGACGCTTGCGAGACAGTCGGAAAGCGTTTCCTGAGAAAATGCTAAAGGAAACACGTCAAGCTACAATCAATGCTTACATGTACACTTAATTTATGGACTTATAACACGTTTACAAACAATACAAAAATGGGTATCAAAACCATACTTGCATATCAAGAAATAACATGAAATGAACTTACCTTTTGTCCAGAGGAAATGAACCGAAGAACTATGCCGTCTTTTCAGTTTTTATTTCATGTCAGCACAGTGCCGACATTGAAGGTTAGGCAGGAATCGTGCGTGGAGAACAAATTACAAATTCAGCTTTATCGTTAGTTACTCAAAGACGAAACGAAGGATTATACAACTCGAGATAGTAGCTCCGTTTTGGCTCGCTTTCCCAGCGGTACCAATGCAGAGATCGAAAATATCGTTTCCTTTTCGACCAGCATAATAAAAGAAGGAAAACACACAAAATCCTTGGGCAAATGCGCATGAGCAGTGGTACTTGGTTTTTAGGGGGCGTGGCGTAAGTATTGTGCGGTGATTAATGACGCTGTAATACCAGCATTAATTGCACTTAGATGGAACTCTCGATCATATGTCAGCTATTCGGAATTCTTGGATTCTTTTCTTCATTTATTGAGGATGGCGTGTGTGGAGAAGAGGTTTGGTGAATAGAAATAGATTTAGAAGATGAATAGAGTAGATCGTATGTCATGCGGTAGTGCCATTAAAGCTCAACTTCAAGTTCACTTTATTCAATACTTTCATTAAAAATATATAAAGGAATACAAACATATAAAAGTTGAAATATGATACATGTATCAATATATAAAAATGAAAATAACACAAGCGGAGAAGAAATGAAGAACAAGGGGAAAAGTGTACATTAATGAAAGTCTTCTCCAGTAATTGTATAAGAAACTAAGTACATTAGTTAAATTATTTATTTTCTATTAACAAAAATTCACACATACACTCTTTCCCATACACACCTAAACAAACTTATCTGTCTGATGAAAAATAAAAATATAGCTTATTGACCAAATACTAAATATCAAATTCATATCTAGACGTATATTGGATCATGCATAATGAATAAAATATCAGTTCTGTTTAAAACGTTTAGTCTGGTGAATAATGCTATGATATTCTTTGATTTAAAACAAAATAATATGATGAGCGAATAGAATTGAAAGGAGTGTACTGCGTCACTGTGGTATGTATGGAGACTTACTGTAATCTTCGCAGCATTCACATTTTTTAAATTATTTTCCTCTTCTCCCTTTTCTTCCTCTTCTTCCTCTTCTTTTCCTCCTCGTCTTCTTTCTCCTTCTCCTCCTCCTTCATCTTGTTTTTCTTCTACCACTTCTACTTCTCTTCCTTCGTTATCTCCTTCTTCTTCATCATAGTCTTGCCAATTTGTGTTTGATTGATCGTAAGTTTAAATAAAAATCATAACTCTTTTATTTTCGATCGGAATTCGCTCAAACTTTCGCTAACCCGTTCCTCTCATGTTTCTGCTTCCATTAAAACCAACTTAGTATCAGCGTGGACTTTCTCTTTAATGGCGACGCTTTCTTGTTTCAAACAGCGCACCCTATGAATATTATGGTGCAGCGGTGACCAGGCACGTAGCCAGAGTTTGATGTTTGGGGGGGGGGGGCACATACATGTAATCGATCGAGGTCAAAAAAGGGATCTAAAAAATGCAACCGTGCCCCCCCCCCCCCCCCCCCCCGTGGCTACGTGCCTGGCGCTGACCCTTGATCAGGTTTTCAATTGTCTTTTATATATGATGAACCCTGCTTTTACAAGTGATTGTATAAGACTGTAAGAATGAGTGGCCACAGTGCAGTGTTTGATTAGCGAGTTCCCTGCAAAATATATAGAATTTGTACTATTCTAAACTATTCTAGCCATTCAGTAAAAATAAGTATGAAGACCCAGCCCCCCCCCCCTCCTCCTCCGATCAGTCTACATGTACAATTGACAACTGAATTATTCATACCGCTACACTAGAATGAAAGTTGGAATGGTTAACTTAGGGCCTTTGTTGAACAATTTTTAGATGTAAGCTTTGATATGTCACATGCTCAAGAAATATAAATCGGGACAAATGAATTGTTCACAGATTTAAAGAATAAAATAAATGAAATACAATAAAATACAGAACGTGCTAGGGGTAAGAATGATTTAGTTGTGATTATGGCAATCAAATATAGCCAACAGAGGGGGATTATTTCCCGAGGGGGGGGGGGGAATTACCCAGTTTTTTGTAAGCATTATTTGGTCTGCTGATACCCAGATGGGCGTTAACCCATGCCATTTCATTAATAGTTTATACCCTTCTGGCTCTAAGCATATTGTTTTATACAACACATACGTGGATCCTCGTCATTTGATTGGAGGATTCTTGGTCACATGGTATTCAATAGATGTTCTATTGCACGGGCGTGCATTTTTGGTTATATGCAGACTGCGTACCTCTCTGCCGTGCGCGTATCCTTGCGTGTATCTGACGCGAAGGCAATCTGAATGTAATCGAGAAGACTTGACTCCAACTTTGATTTATCTTTAATATAAGGAATAAAATCATAATTTGTTGACTAACGTTCTATTAGATCTTCTTCGATGTTGTATAAAACAAATAATGAATGTTTTACTTTCAAAGAATGAAAATTTTCGCACTATTGAACTCATAACCATTCATTATTTGTATAATATTGTCCATGCAGGTGCAAAATGCCCTTAGGGTGTGGTTTATCTAATCTGAAAATCCAAGTTGATACGTTTTTTTTTTAAATTTCTTACCTCTTTTCTTGTGACAATATGATTTATTCTTGATTATATTTTCTCGGAATGTTATTGATCAATCACGTTGACACTTTAAATCAAAATAAGCCCTATATCTTTCCGGGGTAAACCATATCCTCACAAATAATTCATAAAACGAAGTTAAAAAACACAGGTATTCCAACTTTATGGGAAACGGAATGAAAAACATCCTTTCCTTCTATAGGCGTAAATACCTAATCTTTTGAGAATGTATGTGATTATAAAAAGTACAGAATAATTACAGCACCATGATTTTTCTTGGTTAAAAATGAATCTATTTATTCCTCAATATTATACTCTCAAATCTATATATTCCATATAAATCCATCTGTTTCAAACTGAATTGACCTAATACACGCATCAATTGTTAACACACTAACCGTATGTATATCAATGATATAGAAGTACTAAATTATCATCTCATAAAACCAGGACAATGGTTGTTAATACGATAATACAATAACAACATTTTTTGGCATAAAATTAACAACAAACGAAAATGAAGAAACCGAACCTCAAGTATACTCTTTCTCTCAACTCCCTCTCCTTTTCCTTTCATAAATTGCAACTAGATCATATTTTGAAATATATATATATAAATATATATATATATATATATATATATATATATATATATATATATATACCTCCGAGTTTAGAGAGAGAAAGAGAGAGAGAGAGAAAGAGAGAGAGAGATAGAGTATGTGTGTGTGTGTGTGTGTGTATGTGCTTCGATGCTATCCTATTAAATACTCGGATTTATTGTGATAGATAAACCGTTATAATAATAATAATAATATATTACATTTATAAAACGCTTCATACAATAAGCGCTGAACAAAACAAGGTTATTATACTTTCACCTTTTTCATCTTTTATTTTATTTTTTCCGTTACACAATTTTCTACTTTGACTCTGAAGATATTTTGGAAATCCATTTTTATTTAACATATTCTTTATTTACAATCTCAGTAAGAAAGGGTTATTGTGGTAACTTGCTTTTGACAGAAGATAGCATAAGCATCTTGTTCATTTACTCTAACGTAAATCGCATACAAAAAGACGGGCAATGGTGCATACTTTGAATGGCAAATGAAATGATATCATGTAACAGGTTATACATGTGCAAGAGTTTATTAACAAAGTGATAATTCATGTATATGAAAATTAAATTCAATATAATTTTTCAATAATAAAAACCAATAATGGTAATAATAATGATAGCAACAATAATCTATAGCATACATATACATCACTCTGAAGAATATTTTATAGATTCGTAGTAAACAAATTAAAGGCAAAGCAAATATTATACCCCAGGTACGAAATATTTGTATAGAAATATCAACCCTAAGAGGCCCGATTAAGTATAGTTCTTGTTTATTAGTGCATTTACATGATAACGATAAGACAAACCCAGTTGGTGATTTTAAAAAACCCACAATGAACCCTATATAGAGTGGCAAAAAAATAGGAGAGCAGTTATGTGTTTCAAGACAGCTGATCCTCAGGAAAGCCGTCATGCGCAAATTTCTCGCTATTTCTCAATTTAAAAGCAAGGACGTTGTGTTAATCTTAGGATTTGCATTCGTCAACTTTAACTTTAAGAATTCAGTAAATAGCTTACATATAAATTACTGACTCAGACTCACAATAATAATCACTTGTACATCTCTACAAATTATTAAACCACCCCCTTTAAATACTCCGTGTAAACAATAACATTATAAAGAATGAACAAACAAAGTAAAGATGGAAAAATGTAAGCTAGATAACTGAATTGCAGTTTATGAAATGAGACGATGCATGGTTTATTGAATGGCTAGGTTTGCAAGCAAAATGCGTGAAAATTTTACTGAAATCGAAAGAGCTTACAAGCGAGTAACACCTTAATTTGTTATATGGATAAACGTAAGCCTTTAAGATGTAATGACACCTACTACAAAATAGGTTTCTACCAAATGATATTCAATAGGAGAATAGCACTTCAGGCATACCGACTGGTTTAATAAACGTCTCGATTTACACTCATTGTAACGTTCTCTCCATAAGTTGAGGGTCTTTATCAAGACTGTTCTTCCTTCAAACCTTATCAAAGATAACACTACAGATTTCATCTAGAATTTCACAAAGCCGTAACTTTAAGAAAAGACCTAACACAGAATGCCACGTGCCTGCGTGATAGCTCGGTTTGTACATGGGTATGTAAGAAAAAGAAACTACTGTACTGACAGACGAGTTTATGATGAGAAATAATGTAAACTTTACACTAAAGTGAAATAGACTCTAATCGTGGCAGCACCTGACAAGGACTGATTACCTCCATCGGGCTCGGGAAACATTTTCCTGGTGACTCCTTCGTCCAGGCTTCTAGGACTCGATCAACTCAATCACCCGAGTCAGCAAAATTGTAGCCTTCTATGACCTTGTCTCGTATATATTTTAAATCCAACTCTGTATTTTAGCCAATGACTGTATATACCTCAAGAAACATGGTGCAAAGCCCATGATTTTTTGTTTAACGCTAAACATTCTCAAAAGAATCATGTTTGGGTATCTGCGTCATCATCTCGAAAAACACTCGACGACGTAGAGGGTGCCCCACTTGCTGCACCGCCTTCATCATCTTCTTCGGTCACCCTCAGGCCACTCGCACCTGTCTTCTGTCTTCTCGCCGGAGCTCCCCGGGAGCCACGTACCTTGCTCAGCGTGTTCGTCAGGTTGTCCATGATGTCGTCCACCGTTCCATGAATCTCGGTGGTGCGACGTCGGACATCGCGCACGTGTTGGTCAAGCTCGGTTGTCTTGGTGTTCATGATGTCGACCTTGTCAAGTTGGTTCTGGATGCTGCCCAGGGTGCCTTTGAGGTTGGTGAATGACACCTCGGAGGCCTTTAGAGATTTGAATGTTTCGTATCTGTCCGGAGAAAAGAGAATAAAAACTTTATCCCAGCTATTCACTTACGTTTATTCTATCAGTAGATCATTTAACACATATTAAACTGTTGTAACCATGTTTGCTCTGACCTCTACGTCATTATGTCATAGTTGTTGGAAATAATTGAGTTGCCCTTTTTTGCTTCACATTACATTAAATAATCAAAGTCTTTCATGGAAATAAAACAAAAAATGTGCGATAATGTGATAGAATGGGGAGGGGGTCACATATCCTTTCAAGCAACGCCCCTCCAGATGATCTGTATCGAACATGGTCATAGTGAAACGAAAAGGATTCAATCAAATCAATTTATGGGCTGACCTGAAGACAGCGATGTCGTTCCTGATAGCCATAATATCCGAACGAGTAACGTTCGCCTCCGAGTCAGCGCCGAGCGTCGTCTGATCTAAGATGTACCTCTCTACGAGTTGCCTCACCGTCACCTTAACATAGAGAAATGAGTAAAATTAGAACATGATAATAATAATAATAATGAGTATTTATCAAATGCAATATCCATTTTGCAAAATGCTAATGGCGCTGAGAATGTACTACCACAGATTTGTCCCTTTAAATCTTGTTCAGAAAACTCCATACTCTGTTTTGTAGAAGTTCATTTTCACTAAGAAATAATAATAACAACAGTCTATGAACCGTGGTACGAAAGATCTTGAAAATCAATGATATCATAACTATAGTGACAGATGGTTTTTTGTTCCAAACAATTCCGTACCAATGCCCAAAATTTCGGACAAATATAATTCAAATATCTCATCACACGATTTGGATTTTCTCAAGGAAAATACGGTTTACAATATCAAGCTCGAAGATAGATGGCCATGAACATGATGAGTTTGTAGGAAAATAGGTCGAGTCGTAAACTTCTTGGTATAGGGTACAAAGGATGGGCTTAATTCGATTCATCGAGTCATCGCGTTCGGTAGGTCGTGTCACCTGAACTTTTGTTAGAAAAACAGGCCCTTTATTCGGGGATATGTTTGTAAAATACGAACCCTTCTTATCTACGAGTGGTCTAGTCCAAATTACCTCCCGATACTTTGTAAAAAATCCTATGGCAAATCTACGAAAGATCGCAAGATCTTCGATATTCGTTCCCCGGAAGGTCGTGTAACGCGACCACCCGACAGGACGCGATGACCTGATGATTCGAAGTAAGCCTAAATGATGTATTAAACCATCAGGATTCAAATGTTAATATTTGATTTGACTTACAGTATATTCTTGTTGACCTTTGTCCCGCCTCTTCTTGGTATTGTCCTGAAGAAGAAAAAAACATTTCCAATACATGATCAATATATATAAAGGGAAAATAGATAGCTTACATAATATAAGTGTATATTAATAGAAAATGTAGGAACAACATCTAAAGAATATCATATAAGAGTTTCTATTGCAAAATGATTCAATTTGTAGCATTAAAAATATCGTCGATAATAGAAGGAAAAAACAGGAATTATTTTCAAATTTAACTCATTACCTACAACTGCACATAACCTTTTAATAGTTTATCCTTAGCTGTAGTGGAGAAGTCGTGAATACAATAGTCTTGTGATTGTTTTAAGCCACTTCATGAGAAACACAGGGCGTTGCTAGATTATTAAGTTTTGACAGCCCCTCCATCTCCCCCCCCCCCCCCCTCCTTCCCCCAAACCATTCAAATTTGTATCGGCAAATCCCAAATTGATGTTTGCAAATATCGACCAATTTGAACATTTTCTTACACAAATGAGAAATGTATCAGTAACAATGCTGACAAAATTGGTCATCTCCTTCCCCCCCCCTTTCATCTTTCAAAAAAAAATCCAACTCCCTTGTTAAACTACTTTTTTCAGATAAGATATATCTATCGTTTGTCCGTCGATTTGCTTTACGTAAAGATTTTAATCTTATAATTGCATGATTATATAAATTTCTCTCCCTCCTCCGTTCATCTATGTCCCTTCTCTTTCTTTGCCCTTTATCTATTTTTTTCCTTCTTTTCCTAATTTCTAAGCATCACCTCACATCGTATGTCTTGTTATTTTCAATTTCTAGGGGACGTCACTCAAGCCTTTGCTTATAAGTCGACCCATGTCATTACCATACATCTAAATGTATACGACTTTAAATGTACATAATTATGTTGATGTATATTGGTTAAATGAACATCAAATCATATCAAATTATCATTATGCAGTACTTCATTCATTTCTTACATTGACATCTTTGCGGCTGAAGCAACACGAACTGCCTATGTTTTTACACATGAGTGCCCAGTCTCGAATGGCAGGGAAAACGTTGAACGGTGGGGGCGTGGTGTTGCCGTGTTGTAGAAAGCTCACCCACATCTGTGCTCTTGCATACTTCCATTCAGTGTCCGAGTTCTCCTACAAGGGTCAAAGGTTAGGGTCAAAGGTTAGGATAAACTATCATTAGCGACTACTTTTGCCGCAAGGATGCACGCAGACGTAGGTTCACAACCATTGTTTTGCGTTTATTTGGATGCTTAGAAGACAAGTGCTTGAAATACCAATGTCTTCTTGCACTTCTTGAACAGACATGTTCCCCGTCATCAAACTCATTCTCTCACAAATGTACACCATCTCCACATTCATTCAGGAAAGTATTCCTCCCATATGACGATGGTTCAGACATTAAAATTTATGGAAAATTCATTCAAAATGGATTTCGACATCGTACAAGGCGATGCTCACATTGCTTCATATTTTCGGCCATTTAATCAATAATACATCAAAAAGACCAATTAAGCTAATACAATCCAGTGTTCTCTCACAAAAACAAGTGGGATTTACTAGGTTTCCACGCCATTGACATCTAGCTCAATCCCCAAACTCAATCTCACCTCGACTCTGGTATAGGTGTTACTCATCATGGCGATGAGGGCGTTAAGCATGACGACCACGGCAAACATGAGGTAGAGCCCGAAGAGGAGGGTTCCCACGGCCTCGGTGAAGTAGTGATTGATACCGCTTTCCAGCTGGATGATGCTCAGCGACTCCAGTCCGAACAGGGCCCAGAAGAGCGTCAACATTGACAAGCCAACACTGGAAGGAAAGGAAAAATAAAATGAAATTATGTTTCATCACATGAGCACCAATTGACCAATCATCTATCTCGAATACTCATGAATATTCATAGAAGGGATATAATATCCACTACAGTATCTTACTATGCTCTCCTGACTTTATAAATAGGACCCTGCTTCATAAAACTTGATATCAATAACCAGGAAGTTACAAGCTACTGTTATAAGCTACCAAAATCATGGCTTCTGATTGGCTGAGAGCAAATTTTGTCACGGAAATTTAGCAGTTGTTATAGATAAGAAGCTTTACGAAACGGGCCTCTGCGCCTTTCTGCATTACAAGGCAAAGGAAAAACAAATATCAGAACTAACATGTACTTGTTGGCTTCTAAGTGGATTTTCTAATTTGTATGACTTTTTCTTGTAATTCTTTCCTTTCTATTTGAAGCGCATAGGGACATGCTATCCTGTAATGTGTTATGCACTATAAAAGAACAGAGTATAATTATTATTATTATTATTATTAACATTCATTCTTCAAAGATTCTTAAAAATTCCATCCTATCAGTCTAATTACATGAATAGAAGTCAAAATTATATGAAGTTGTGAATCATGTATTTCTAAGACCTTCATACTATGGCCATGGTTGATTCTAATGCATGTACATCTTGTAGCACAGCATTCCTAATATAACTGTGTTTCCATTAATCGGCATATTGCATTACATAGAGTGCGTCACTTCAAGTGCAGAGGTGTGGGCGTGAGTAGGTGAGTGTATAGGTGAGTGTGCGCGCGTGCGAATGTGTGGAAATGTTTCCGGTGTGTTGGCTCAGTCTTTGGAGCGTCCGCCTCACAACCGGGAGGTCGTGGGTTCGATCCCCGGCCGCGTCATACCAAAAGACGTTAAAAGATGGGAGTTGCTGCTACCTTGTTTGACGTTCAACAATAAGGGATAGAGCAACGTCGATCTGGCGCCGCTCAGTGACTGCCAGGCTCACGATCAATTGGGCTAAAAGAATTTTCATTTCGGTTGAATAAAATTTGGAGTGGACTAAAAGATTATTATTATTATTATTGTTGTTGTTGTTGTTACCTAGAGAAAGCGCCCGAGTCGCAGGCGGCGTTGGGGTCCGCCATACACTCCTGGTAGGTGTGCTCTTCGTACGTCTGATAGATCTGGTTGAGACCGAGAGCGAAGGCGAACCAGACGATGATGAAGACGAGGATGAACTTGACGATGTCGAAGAGCATTCCGCCAAGGGAGATCTGGAGAGGCCCGACAAGCTGAGACGAAACCTGAAGGATTTTTAAAAAAGAAAACAAAGAGGTTGATTTGGATAATTCAGAGAATATTGATTGATTGATTGAGGATTTTATTGGATATTATCCATTCTCGCAGTCCTAGGACTGAATTGCAATGATGACAACAGTTTACAGTGTATATACATGATACCAGCAATTGTACAATAATGATTAAAACACTTCAAGCAATCTACAATGAAATTCAAATATGAGTGATCAAATGAGAATAAATTGAATTGTAAACGGAGCTGTCTCGAAGTTACTGAGTAAGGCTGATTATATCACAGATTGAAGAATGGTGTATTGTGAGGTTTTAGAATCGCCATAATGGCCTTGCTGGAAATCTCACATTGTATATTGTATTGTATTTATTAAACTTCATTGATGTACATCAATATTCTGTTTATAAACATATACAGCAATTTACTATTCAATGTAACAAATCAATATTCTGTTTGTAAACATAAACATCATATAAATGGCGGTGGTATGTGAAAAGAAACACATATGTGGCATCAAGATTTGTTCAAAAATGTTTTGAAATTGTGGAAGATAAAGGTATTTTAAGAGTTATCCTTTTCAAAACAAATTATTACTATGGTATCCTCATTCACTGCATTAAATTTAATGAAAGAGTTCCTAAATCATTATAGACATTCCACCAGAATACTTTTTAAATTTCGACATAGCCGTTAAGGAGATTGATTTGGTCTCTAGTTTATCAACTATAAACATTGAAGAAAATCATCAGCGTTTAAGAAACGTATTCAGTGTTTTTATATTGGAAAGTTATGTCGTCCATCATGTGTATAAAATGAGATTTAATTGAAGGAAAAAAGTGAGTACCGTTAAGCTGAGGAGACGGAGAAAGGCAATAACCGTAGCGATAGCGAAGAAGGCATCGGCCAAGACGGACGGATGGTCGGAAGGTAAAGCTACTCGACCGGAAAACACCGGTGCAGTTGTCATCGGGATATCGGTGACTGCAATAAGAAGAGAAATTACATTTTATTAACAAAAATAGGGAAAGGGTGTTGTGAATAGACCTAGATTTTGACTGCAGGGATGGTATTCTGCAAAAGGATGATTTCTGTTATGTTATTTAAAATGTAGAACTACGTTAACTGTCGTAGCATATCAAACTTACGACAATGGTTACTGTTTTCGCAAAGCTGGTCGGTTTCGATTACAGATATAAGAGATATCAGTGCAAGCACCAGTGCTGGATCCAGGTGGGGGGGGGGGGGGGGGGGCGGCCCGGCCCCCTCGGAAATTTTGCCTTTTTGGGGGGGGGGAGATCCTCCCACCCCCTGGCGCTCAAGGGGGTGCGATTTTTCAAATTTTTGAGGGCCCCCCCCCCCAAAAAAAAAAAAAAAAAAAAAATGTGCTCACCCAGGAAGGTCACTGACAGGTTGCTATCTCATCAACTCAGTTCTCAATTAACATGAGAAAAAGAGGATCATGGGGGACCAATGGTCACCGATTAGGCATTGTTTACTATGCAGAGGGAGCAAGTAGCTACAAGTAGTACAGTGGGCCTTTAAAAGAACTCCTACGATATCGTATCAATACAGCGAAATGGGACAGTTTATATTTACCCGTCTTATTTTCACACGTGAGCTTGACCACGGACTGTATGAGTTCAGTAAGGTTCGCGGTCTGGCTGGCTCTGATCTCGAAGCTGGCATTACGGAAGACCTCGTCAATGTAGTCCCGGAGTTCGGGAACCGTTTCGTTCTGCAGGAATTCCCGAAGTTCATCGAGATCGACGTCGCGACGGCTGATGCTGTCGATGGTCGGCTCTCGAGTCTGTGGTCGAGAAGGAGAACGCAGAACGAGCATGAAAACGATGATTGTAAATACGTATGCATGATCACAATATTGTAAAGATCTCGAAAAACATCAACCTAACGCAATTTCTATTTATTTATATCTCTATTATTATATATTATTTATGTCTCTATTTATCCATTTATTTATTCATTTACTTATTCATTTATAAATATATATATTTATTTTTTATTAAGACTTGTGAAATGGGACACTGATAACCACGAACGTTATTTTCAGAGATTTACTTTCGCCTTGGGCGTCACTTATTATACTGTTCTAACATGACTTTATATAATAGGCACCATTTTAAATCACCAAAACCCTTGATTGCTCAATAATTTAAATGATATTGAAAAGCCATCATTACTATTAATAAATATTGTGTCATAGGCTCGTGATTTGAGTGGGGTTATTAGGTCGACATAGAAAATAGTGTTGGCCCTTTATATAAACATGTAAGGTAAAGTGACCGCTTGAAAGTCGAGTACAACTGCAAGGCTGACACTCCTAAAAGAAGTGCGACGTTACGAGAGGAACCGCATATTTGAACAAAAGATCAATACCAATAACAAAAAGTCAAGTTGGATACAGGACAATTACATCATTATTATTCTTATGCTTGTGATATATGTCCCTTTTCCAAAAAATCAAATATTTCTATGAACCAACGCCTCTTGAATAGTTTCGACAAACATCAAAGTTCAGTTTTCAAATGTCTCACTCTAATTTATTTGCTCTGTGATATATAAGAATAAACACTCTCTTTAATCCTGAGTCGAAACGTAAAATGCTCATCATGAGGGTGATTATGTATATGACCAAATCTAATTAAATTTAAAATCAAGGTAAGCTTATCGACGGTTGTCTAATAATGGCTCACTCTAGCAAGATTCAATCTCGATTTAAACAAGATTTAAAGGTAAAGACCAGTTATGGTCATGCGATTGCATTGTGAAAGAAACGTTGTGGAATCGATCAGAAAAGGTTGATCATCTAGCATCTGCAAGGTTCTGGAATCATCAAAATGATAAGAAATTTGGCCCATTTTTCGTAAAGTTACAAGCACTATACACAGAAAGATGTATATGGGACTACCCTATATCTCTCACAGACCATGAGAGAAACAAATTTACCAAATATATGAATTAGTAGGCGGTTTCCCGGCAAATTTTTAATCATTATTTTTTAATTTTTAATCAAAACATACTCTTTCACATGATTGGTAATGACAGCTTCCATTTCATTTTTGAAATTGGGGCGTTTCCAATACTGGTCTTTCCCTTTAATCATATTTTCACCCCTTGGTACAGTGTTGTAGCGTACACTGTAGATCCGTTCGTTTTGCCCCCCCCCCCCCTCCCGTAGCTACGTCACTGACTTGGCATGAAGTGATCTAAGTTTCATATAGTTCAACTTGTTATAAAGGTTTGAATGACATGTAATTTTGTGAATGGCGTAGCTACAGGGATCACGAGAGGGAACCGCCCCTCCCGCCCCCCCCCGCCCCTCGGGGGGAAAAGGGGGGAAAAGGGATGAGAAAGGAAGACACATGAACAACCTCCCGCACCCTTTTCATTCAGTGGCCAAGTCAATTCGCATTTCATTTCAAGTAAGACCGGTGCCGCCCCCCCCCCCACACACACAAAAAAAAAAAATCGGTGGGATTACGCTACGCCACTCTTAAAGGCATTGGTAGTTGTGTTACCTGCAGGTAAGCCATGAGGTACAGTATGAGGGCGGGCCAGAAGAGAGCCAGAATAAAAAACTCGAGAACATTCTGACCGTTCGTGACGAAAGTCTTGACCCCCTGGCGGTAGATGTCCTTAATTGCTGCCCAAGTCATACCTGATTGACAAAGAAATGTACACATACTTTAATCTGCCAAGCCTGGGACCCATTTTGCAAAGCCTTTTTTTCATGACAAATAACAAAAGAAAAATCAGTAACAAATCTGCTGATAACCATTCATAAACAAGTAGAAATTTAAGTATTTTAGACTTTTCATAAATTCGACATCAAGAACATGACATCTCCTTGATAATAGAAAATACGAACGATTTTAATCAACTTTTTATGCCTTTTAAAATAAGTTTCATAAAATATTTTTAAAGATGCTAACGACTTTCCATAATTGTTAAGTCCAACTTAGAGATAAGTTCAACTTAGGATCTTTGTGATAAACTCCCCTGGTAACTAATATATCTATCAAATAAAGGTAAGGCCCATTTGCAAAACGACTCATGCTATAAAGTTGGAGTTTCGAAAAGTGGGATATCCCATATTCGAAATCAAGAAGAAGATTATTGTTTTGGGTTATTGAATTTGTTAGAAAGAAAAACAATTGTGATTATAAAATTGATAGAAAGTGAAAACAATTTTGGAGTGGTGATTATTTTATAAAAAATAATAATAGAATTAGACACAAAAGAGGAGACAGTATCAGAGATAGAAAGACCACAATCCTACCTATTAGCCAAGCTAAAATGAGGAAAAGTAGCGGTACGGGTATCCGGGTCCATTGTTTTAACGGATCGTCGGATGTCGTTCCAGAAGCCGAGGTTGCGATGAGTAGAAATACAAGGAAGGTTAACCGGGAACCGACGCTCATCAGGAACTTGACAAATCTAACAAAATGAGGAAAAAAGTAAAACAAATGTTTGGAATACTTAACTGAAATAATCAACACAACAAAAACTACTTCAAAAAAAAAACCTATAAAAGCAATTTCAATATGATGTTGGCTCTGTTTAATCACCAAATGTAAAATTATTGTCACGCTGAATTACGATGTAATTAGAATTTGTGGTAATGAATAAATTAAATGAAACATTTTAAAGACTTTAGCTTACGGTGTGTCTCCAAAGGTTATGACCTTCTGCGTAGGTACCAGGATGTAGACGATTGAGATGAAAGGATAGCCGACCATGATGACTAAACTCATCAGGAGCTGTTTCCATAGAGGCCAATCCCGTGTGTAAGCCAACGATCCGAAGAAGCGTTTGATGAGCAGCTGCTGGCAGTGGGGATGTGCTACAAACTGGATATAGAGAGTGCGTCATATAAGGAACAATGATAATAATAACAATGATGATAATGATAGAATTTACGATGATTTTAATTAAAAATATGATAAAAACAACAACAACAACAACAATAACTAGACATGAATTCGTCACTTAGACGATTTAGCTGATACGTATCCTAATTTAGATAATGAAGAACGCATTTTCATGATTTCATCTTATCTTATGAAATGCTTCTCCCATTATGGTTTATATCCATATGTCAAGTTGCAACTGTATAGCATTGATCATTATGGATCTTTGGAAGATAGATTGAGATAATATGACCATTGGCCCTGTACAATAAGCAGTAACACAGTTGACCCTAATTGCCATAATGAAGAATGCATTTTCACAATTTCATCTCATTTCGCGAAATGCTCCACCCGTCATTTTTTACCTAAATGTCAAGTTTCAGCTTAGTAGCAACGGTCTTCTTGTCGGATAGTTCACATCAGTAGGTAGTGCTTTTATCACAGTATGGATTTAAATGTTAAGGTGTGGTCTACCCTTTTTTTTTTTTACCTTTTTCTGCGTGTAATCGATGGCCATAAAGACCTTTTGAAGTATTGCTCCATCGTCACCATCTCCCGACTTGTTCTTCTTTGGGCCATGGGTCATAATCTTGTTCAGCTGGAAGGCAAACATAAAAACAGTCGTTCGATACAGATTAAGTAAAAATCATGAGAATTATTATTGAGCACCAATGGCAAAACTTCGTTTCTTTCAAATTGACAACATTAAGGACCCCCCGACTCTGCCAGTTTCCTCACCTCCTTGGAGTCCCTGGCCTGCCCGAGGAGGTCGGCAGCGTACTCCTCCATGGTGTCGGCAAGCTCCAGGTACTCTGCTCGGAACTCGTACTCCAAGCCACTCATCTCACGTAGACGATTACACAGCAAGAAACCATCGCCTAGTGAAGAAGAAGCGATCAAAGAAAGAGTATTAAGTACTAAGATATGAAGAAGAAGAAGAAGAAGAAGAAGAAGAAGAAGAAGAAGAAGAAGAAGAAGAAGAAGAAGAAGAAGAAGAAGAAGAAGAAGAAGAAGAAGGAGAAGAAGAAGAAGAAGAAGGAGAAGAAGAAGAAGAAGAAGAAGAAGAAGAAGAAGGAGAAGAAGAAGAAGAAGAAGAAGAAGAAGAAGAAGAAGGAGAAGAAGAAGGAGAAGAAGGAGAAGAAGAAGAAGAAGAAGAAGGAGAAGAAGGAGAAGAAGAAGAAGAAGAAGAAGAAGAAGAAGAAGGAGAAGAAGAAGAAGAAGAAGAAGGAGAAGAAGAAGAAGAAGAAGAAGAAGCAGAAGAAGAAGAAGAAGAAGAAGAAGAAGAAGAAGAAGGAGAAGAAGAAGAAGAAGAAGAAGAAGAAGAAGAAGAAGAAGGAGAAGAAGAAGAAGAAGAAGACAGATGAGAAGAAGACAAGAAGAAGAACACTAACAACAACATCAACAACAACAACAACCAGAAGTTAAAAAAACAAAAAAAATAAAAGACAAAGAGACGAGCAACATCAATAGCAACAATAATAGCTGCAACAAAAACAACTTGACAACAAATAGGGAGATGATGGCAAGGGGAAATTATGCAGAAAGTATGATATAAAAGAATGATTGTGATGATTATTATAATGAAGATGACGATGATGTTAATGATGTTACGTTTATGGTGATGATGTTGATGATCCTGATAATGAGAGTGCAAACATAATATGATGATGATGATGTTGGTGATGGTGATGATGATGATGATGATGATGTTGATGATGATGACGATGATGATAATGATGATGACAATGATGATGATGGCGGTGGTGGTGGATAAGATAGCGGTGGTGTTAATGACGAACCTGATTACATCAAATAAGTAGGATCCGAAAATATAACCTGGATTTAACATGAAATCAAAGTCTCGATCATTGTTGGTCTGATGAGTGAAATCATAGCTGGATTCCACTTGCCATAACTTAATTTGGAACGAGATGAAAACAGTATGAAGATGTAAAACAACACACCACAACGACAAAAACAAGACTATAATGAATTATAAGATGATGAAGCGCATCCTAATCAAATAATTGGTTGAGAGCGTACACGTGACCAAGCATTTATTGTGCCTAACACGTAATTTTACTAATGACCGGTATATGTATGACTAATGACTGGTATATATATTTGTAAACTTATTTACCTCATTATGTTTAACAGGGCCTAATGAAAGATCACCATAATTGGTGATAATGAGTCACCCTGTATAAATATCATAAATAAATAAATAAAACCAGTAAGTGCTAATGACTGGTTATAAGTCATGTTATAAAACATCATTTTATAATTGTATATTAACATTTTAAGCTGTGTAAATAGCGCATATAATTAGGCCTACCCATAGGATCATCGCTGACTTTTGAGATGTAGAACTGACTCGATAATGCCCGGTAGATATTGAGTGTCCCGACAGACCGCTGCAGGGTGTGTTTGGCCGTCCGTTCGGAGTCGCTCGAGTCTGGGCTAGGTACGAGGGCCTTATACTTCAACAGGATCTATAACATGTATACGGAGAGGGACCATATGCTATATGAGATATTTATGAACATATGATCACTTTAAGGACATATCAAAGAGGATTGTCTACCAGCAAATTCTTTTCCTCGTCTTTTTCATTCGTGATAAATGTCTAGGTTTGGTATCATTATGATGTAATAGGCTACTGTTGTAATTGTCTAATTCGTTCTTTGTGCGGATGTGTGTGAGTGGGTGGGCGAGTAGATGGGTATACGTGGGTTGATGAACGTGTGGGGTTGGATTTGTGTGTGTTGTTTGTGTGAGTTATCAAAAATTTCATCATATTTCTGACATTTCTTTATCATTTATACATTTTGAGAGCCCTATAAAATAAAAATCGACCAACGATAAATCGTTTGGCTTTGAATGTATATATGTGTGTGTGTGTGTGTGCTCTCACCTCAGCATTCTTGTGGGGTTTTATGTGCGCTTCACATACCCCTTGTGAGGCATTTTTACTTTGTGGGGTATTTTTTCAGGACCCCACAGAGTAAAGTCTTTCAAATGACTGTATATTCGGTGTCCTATGCCCTGCGGGGCATTAGAAGTGGTACCCCATAAATGACTTTTTGTGAGCGTGTGCTAAAACTTGCACACTTTTTTATGGTAACATCGTAAGCACACCGCCGGGTTGTTATCGCCAGGTTGTACATACCCCACTAGTAGGGGACCACAAGGTATATCTGGAACGCACAGAAATACCCCACAATCAGGTGCCCCACAAAGGCCCTGATGTGAGAATGTGTGTGTGTGTGTGTGTGCGTGTGTGTGTGCGTGTGTTACGTGTGCGTGAGTTATCAAAAAGCCTAAAATCATAAAGCGTGGGATTATTTCTCACATTGATTTATCATTTATATATTAACAGGGCCCTTTAAAATAAAACAACGACGACTAACCAATCAATCAAAGGAGTAACCTATACGGTATCTCCACTCTAGGAGCACTCATATTACCATCATGAACATGCGTTGTTTCTAACGGTTAAATAAAGTTAATCGTCAGTCATTATTCATTGTAAAGCTACGAGTGATTGAAGGACAAAGCACTTGTTTCGGGGAAACAAAGTAATCATAAACTTTCATGTTACAGAATCTACAGGCCCGAATTCACAAAGGAGGTTTGTAGACAAAACTAGGTTTATGTGCGTCATATGACGCGTTTCAGACCAAGGTTTGTCTGAACCTTGGTCTGAAACGCATCGAAGCGCGTCATATGACGCACATAAACCTAGGTTTGTCTACAAACCTACTTTGTGAATTCGAGCCGCAGGGTCCAGATTTCGTAAAAAAAAGGCATGAAAAGTTACAAGTTAACAAAACAGCAATATTGTGGGTCATAGATTGGGAGAATGGGAGAATGGGAAAAAGAGGGGAGAAAAGAAGAAGACAAGAGGGCAAGAGTTTTAAGAGTGAATATACTTACATCGATGATCTCAAAGTTGTTGTGGTGGCAGGCAAGGATGATAGGTGTGATTTCTGGGTGATAATCATCCGTTTCAGAACGACAGTTCACTATCTCCATCTGATTATCCTGTCACGTCCAAAGTTAATAGAATGTTAGAACTTAGTCGTAAAAACTGTTTGTGAAAGCTGCACTTTATAAACTTCACTTTAAAAACTTCGCTTTATAAACTTCACTTGATAAACTTCACTTGATAAACTTCACTTTATAAACTTTCACTTTATTAACTTCACTTTATAAACTTCACTTGATAAACTTCACTTTATAAACTTCACTTTATAAACTTTCACTTTATAAACATTTACTTTTTAAACTTTACTTTATAAGCTTCACTTTATAAACTTCATGGATCATGCAGTACACTTGAGTATGTGGCCAAGTCAAAATGAAATTTTGCAAATGCATTTTTGTTGTCAACTGTGAATTCTTATTTGTTTTGAGGAGTGATTGTGTTTTTAACTCAAACCCAGGGAAAATCTCACAATAATAATAATAATACATTCATAGAGCGCAGAAACTATCCAACATGAAGTATATATTCTACTTAAATTTATAGTTAATCAGCTGATTCAAACACATTTCGTCTTCCAAAGAAATATGAAGACAACATATTTCACTTCATGAGTGATCACCTCAACATTACTCAAAACATGTTTCATACTCCAAAGAATGGAATACACCATTTATCATCGCCTCAATATCCTCTTAACAAATGAGGAACTAGGTGTTGACAATAACAATGCATTTTGCAACATTCCACTTTGGACTTGGCCTGCATAAACAGAGCGTTAATTCATGAAACTAAACAGGTTTACTCTTACATTTGTTTTCATTTACAGATTAGGGAAAATTCAAATTTAGCTCACCCCACAAGACTCTGAATGTTTCAATATAAGCTTCACTGCTTCAAGGAACTGTGTGTCTACAGCGCGGAGCAGCGAATCCCCGATGGCTACATTGCTTTTCAACAGCAATTTCAAGATCACTGTTTAAAAAAAGAAAACACAACAAATGACATGAATGAAATAGGAATGAATTATTTGTGTGTGCTAAATAATAGATTGAATATATGATCTAGGGCAGGGGTTCTCAATTTTTGCCATGATGGTCTAGATGTGATTTCCATGAAAGCTATGAATTCCGAAACTTTCAAAATGCCCCTGACGTGGATTTTTATTTGAATGAATTGCTACGGAGACCAATGTCGTACGACTGGTAGTACAGCATTAGATTATGAAACTTAAAGCCCCTCTGTCTTACTTGTAGCTACTTGCTCCCTCTATATAGTAAACTTCCCCAATCGGTGCCTGTTGGTCCCCCATGATCCTCTTTTTCTTATGTTAGTTGAGAGCTGAATTAATGAGAAAGCCACCTGTCAGTGACCTCGCTGTGTGGTCTAATCCCTTCTGGCCCAGTAGTATTGACGGTCTTTAAACTTAGACGAGAAAAATTGATACATAATTAAGAGGAAAGAAATAAAACTCTACATTTCTCAGCGGAGAATCTTCGATTTTTCAAGAGGGGGCGCGAAGCACACTGCAATCGCGCGTTAACGCTATCACTTCTGGGTGGGGTCCAGGGGCACAGCCACTGTCGGGGGTTCCGGGACGGAGCCCCAGGATGCTCTCGAGTTTTAACGATTCAGAACCTTCAAAATAACTGCATTGTGTGATGGAAATTCACACTCTCTCCTAAGGAGAATTACACAACAGCTATCTTTACGGGTGGGGTCCAGGGATCCGCATTAGGGCCCGGGGGGTTGTATGGACTGTGCCCCAGCCAGGGTTACAGGAGTCGGAGCCCCCGAGTTTGAGCAATAAGCCTGTTCATAATAGGGACTTTTAGATTTGCACGTCGACATCGTGGACTGCTCCGGGGACTGCTACGGGTGACTTCCTATATGTCGACGTGCAAATCTTAAAGTCCCTAATTACAGTCTGAGCATGAGCAGATAAAGGTCATCGCAGGCAGACCGAATTGTGAAATACAAGGAGACAAAATACTGGATACGTGCTCATAGAAGATATGTAAGCATTATTCATTTATGCACAAGCAGTGCACTCCATGATACACAGGTGGAAGTATTCTTTGAAAAGGGGAAACAAATATGTAGCACCTCAATCGCTGTAGGAGTGATTATTTCAAAATGTAAAAAGTGGGACCTCTTCATGTTTTGAAGATCTGTGGATATTCGGGGTCATTTGGGACATGTGCTATCCCCCCCCCCCCACTCAGTGTTATTTAGGATACGCATATGCGTGTTCCAAGCGACCCCCCCCCCCTTTTTTCAGCAAAAGTCCGGTGTGTAAAGTCAATACGGGTCGACCTTTTATTTTGTTATACGAGCCTTTTGCAGCACCCCACCTTTTCAGCAAAAGTCCGGTGTGTAAAGTCAATAGGGGTCGACCTTTTTCTTTTGTTACGAAAAGGACATTTTGGTAACACGCATGGGGTCCGTCCGTTCTCGGAGTGGGGGGGGGGGGGGGGGCGGCGGGGTGCTAACCGTACACCGGCTCTATTCAGAACCTTCGAGATAGTCGTCATGAGCGATAACAACTCTAATACATCCCTTTGAATTTAAATTGCAAAGCCTCTATATTGTGTGCTCTTTTTAAAGAGCACAAGAAGCCCAAAGGATGAGCATTCCTTGGCTTTCATCAGTGGCAAAACACGCCCGTAATACTGGGATTAACATTCAATGGGATGACGCCCACATTGTTCAGTTTGAATTCAAACGCAATTCTGGTCAAGAAAGGTAAAAGAATTAATCCTTCACTATAGGGACTCTGGCTATTCCCGTTCAAGTATCTTCGCTCCAGTGATCTCGAGGCAGTAAACAGCAAGAAATCGTCGTGCAAATCTAAAAGTCCCTATTGCAGGGTCTACTGGTTCACATCCGTTCTGGCTTGTCCTCGCCAGTGTGAAATTGCCACCAGTTCCCCGATAGAGTGCCGTTCGTAACTTGCAAGGGGGCCGGGGCCCGCCCCCCCCCCCCTGGGAAAAAAAAATCATGTAAAAACACGTGATTTTTAGCTTTTGGGGGGGATGCCCCCCCCCCCCCTGGCGCTCAAGGGGGAGGGGGGGGGGTGCAAATTTTCAAATTTTCGAGGGCCAAAAAAAAAATGTGCTCACTACCCCGACCTTTAACGTCACCATCCGAAAGACGTGACTCAGTTTCGAACCTGCCTCCTCGGATTCAGTTTGTGACTTCCATTGTTAGCTGGATTACAGGAGCACGCCACAAGTTACACATTGGTATATCCCCCTTATATAATAAGAATCTTGCTACGCCACTGCGTTCCATAAAATTCATTGTACTCTAGCTCTTGAGATATGCTTCTCAAATCAGGTCGGCCAACCCGATTTGGTTTCACACCTCACACAAGGCTGTATTTTTCAAAGGGTCAACAAGTTTTTCAATGATTAGTAAGGTCCCATATTCATGAAACCTAACTAACACGAACAATCTAGTTTCCACCGCCATTCATAACATTCATTATAATCTACCTCTTGAGATAAGCTTCTCAAATTAGGTCAGCCAAACTGATTTGGTTTCACACCTCAAGCAAGGCTGTATCTGTCTAAGGATCAAAAAGTAGTTCAATAGTTATCAGGGTCCCATATTCATCAAACCGTAATGTACAGGCAATTTCTGGAATTGTCCGACTCGTACGTCACCCTTTTTTTGTGGTCTAAATCGAATATGATTTCGTCCCCCACTACTTCTTATTCTTCTCTTTTTATTTTAATGTTGTCATGTTTATATTACCAAATTCATTTTAGGATCTCAAAATGCGAGATAGTATAGGATATCATTTTATATCGTATGACATCAGAACCAGGTACGTCAGAACCAGGTACGTCAGAACCAGCCATGTGGGAAGTAGGTTAGATATAATAAGGCGGGTGAAATTATAAGTAAAAGTATAATCAAAAGAAATCAAGCACTGGTCGTAAATTTTTACTACGTTTCTTCATTGTAGAATACCTGCTCTTTTCTACGTTGAGTATACTGTTAATAGTCTTCTGTATTAATTACAAAAAAAAAAAAACTTTCAACTCACGTAGATTTCCCCGAGTGATGGCGACAGCGATCGCCGTCCTCCCGTTCCTGTCCGTGCAGTTGACGTCGAGAGGCTGGGTGGCGAGCTTGTCGAGAGCGTCTTCGACGAAGGAGACGTCGCCGTCCCTCACCGCGGCCATGAACCGCTCCTCGTGGGTGAAAGCCGACATGTCTTCCGGCTTGGCCTTCTTTTGTGTACGAGCGTAACGGAGAGAAACTTGCCTGTTTGGAGAGTAAAGAAAAGACAAAATACATAATTAAAGATCATATGGAAGTTGCGCAATAATGGAGTTGTGTAATAAATAGATGTAATTTTGAGGAATATAGAAACGTTAGGCAAAGACGTAGAAACAGATATACAAGTATTCAAATAAGTAATGGTAAAAAATAGGAATATAAATAGTAGAACACATGTATTAGTAGTCGTTGTAGTAGTAGTAGTAGTGGTAGTACAGATAGTAGTAGTAGTAGTAGTACAGGTAGTAGTAGTACAGGTAGTAGCAGTAGTAGTAGTAGTAGTAGTAGTAGTAGTAGTAGTAAAAGTAGTAGTAGTAGTAGTAGTAGTAGTAGTACAGGTAGTAGTAGTACAGGTAGTAGCAGTAGTAGTAGTAGTAGTAGTAGTAGTAGTAGTAGTAAAAGTAGTAGTAGTAGTAGTAGTAGTAGTAGTAGTAGTAGTAGTAGTAGTAGTAGAAGTAGTAGAAGTAGTATTATATTTTTCATTATTTGGAATTAGACTTCATTATATTTAAAGCAATTAATCATAATGCAGTTTCAAAAGAACCCACGTTACAATATTTAATTGTATACATATCTATAATTAATTGCACGATTTATTGATAGGTGTTTATTGGATAAGAAAAAAGAGAGGGGGAAATTGAATTGGAGGAGTTCAAAGTGTTAATGCATACATGACAGACAATGGATATTCTTTCCGCTATAAAAGAAGCAACCATCTCACGTTTATGTTGTCAGAAAAGAAAAGATGCAAGAATGAAAACTTGTTTTCATTTATTATCACTTGTATTTTATAACCCCTTAAACTTTGATTTTGAAATAGATAATATGTAGGGCAGAGAGGGGACGTTATTACTACTGTATTGCCACAGTCCCAGAGGTTGAATATACGGATCACCACTTCCCGTAGGCAAGCAGTTAAAGTGCGGGTTCATAGAAAATCACAAATATGGCAAAACATCGTATTACTAGAATCTGGTAAGCTAACAGATGGCCATCATGCAAGTTTTAGGTCAACTATATATCGGGTGATTTATGCAAATACAAATAAAACAACCTCCATAGCATCTGGGATATGCGAGAGATTCGCCGGAAAAATAACGATGTTTTAATGCCGTCACAATATGAACCAACCCTGCCCAAGCTGACGACATCCCATAAAGAATGAATATAATTGCAATGCTTTTATTTCTCAAATTATAATGAGTTTAGTGTATATAAATGTGATGGAATATTACATCATTCAAAAGGGGATGTGACCCCCCATTCTGATAACTAAATTCTTGTGTTTGTAAATACACAGGATAGGGGTTAATGAACAATCAAAGAAACCACACTTTTAAATTAAAAAACATCCGGAATGATAGCATGGACGTCATTTGATTCCTCTTGAAACGCCCTATACATGCCGCGGTGTATGCAGCTGAAAATACACTGACGTCATTTTTTGTTTACACTCAGAGCGACGGATTCCTTTTTTTTATCCTTACCTTTTTCATCAAAATAATACCATGCACGGGGTTTAGAGTGAGGCAACAGATTAAACATTTCGCCTGAGGGTATTGAAGTAAGAGAAATAACCGAAGAAAAGATGACAAAACAGGCACTGAAATTGTGTGAGATGTCATGGGACATCGTCTGCTTGTGCACGTCATGTTCACCATGTGACGTCATATCTTTGCAGCGACCGGAGAGCTTTTCAGGTGCTATGTCGGGGCTGTAATCTAAACGTTTTGTAATTGTTAATTATCATTACTTCGAACGTTTCCAAACATTGACTTTTGATAACCTTGGCCAATGAAAGTATCACCTTTGCAATAATGACATTAAAGTTAGTTTTTTTTAAATCAATGAACCTTCTCTTTAAGAGAAAACAGCAACCAATAAGAGAAAGAGGGACAAAGAGAGAGGCGAACAAATCTTAAGAATTACAACCTAGTACCGTTAGGTGCAAAGACACCATATATTCCGACCCTTTCCTTCCCGGTAATAAACCACTCGAATTATTTGCCATTCCAATTTCAATATTTATATACACAGGAGTTGGTGATTTGAAAGCCCAGTTTTGCAAACACTATCAGATTGATGACTCTGTGCAAAGTGCTACCATGTCTACCTGTAAACGTCGTTTACTCCGGGAGTTTTTGTATTCCGAAGTTAGGAATTACACCATGCATTTGCATTTCAGAAAAGTCCTTGTTTCGGGGGGGGGGGTCTTGTAGAAGATCGTATGTCATGTGAGTCATAATGACTTCGCTAAAACATGAACCGCAGCTGAGTAATCATAACATTAATGTTCAATCATATTAATTCAATTCAGTTTAATTAAGAAAACATGTACTTGATTATGTAAACATGTAACAAAAAATATACAAATATATTTCTTTGTGAGATCAAATCCATCACGGCTGAATGCCGAATAGCGGTAGACATCACGAACTGTTTTTTTCTTTCTATTTTAATGTTATTTTTAATCTTTTGTAAATTTCATTTGTTCTAGCCTTTGGCTAGCATTCGGCTGCTATTTCGAATGTATGTTTTTAGTGCATAAACCAGTTCTAACAAATGAAACAACTGTGAATGTCGAATATAAGAGTATGTAAGAACAAGGGCTTTTGAAAAGAAGGAACTGTGAATGAGTTGAATAAATGAAATAAAAAAATGAATATATATTTTTGTTAAGGTTTATATTGGCATCTTCTTAAAGACCGTCAATACTACTGGGCCAGAAGGGATTAGACCACTCAGCGAGGTCACTGACAGGTGGCTATCTCATTAACTCAGCTCTCAACTAACATAAGAAAAAGAGGATCATGGGGGACCAACAGGTACCGATTGGGGAAGTTTTCTATATAGCGGGAGCAAGTAGCTACAATTAGGACAGTGAGGCTTTAAATGCCTCAGTGATAGAACAGTGGAAGGTCCAGGTTTCGTAACTAAGTTGATGCGCCAGGGCTCTTTGGTATAAAGGGGTGAATCCTTCGTTACCTATTCCCTCAGAAAAGGCGCGATGGCTCAGTGGTAGAGCAGTAGTATGTTATTTAAATCGAGAGGTCTCGGGTTCGAAACCCAATCAATGCGCTCGTGTCCTTTGGTGAGGCATTAATCGTCATTACCAAGTCACTCGGAGAGGACTGTTGGTCCCCTGTTTGCTTACTTAAAAGCATATTTAAAAAAAAATTCACTAAAGACAGAGCAATGTTATTATTATTATCATCACCAATCATAACCATCATCGTCATCCTTATACAGTAGCTAACTACCTATCATCGAAATTAATTATGTACGAACATGATAATAAGGAGGTGATGCAACAGAACAATTGATCTACATTTGCCACTCTCCACCCAGGTGTTAAATGGGTACCCGGTAGGATGCGAAAGCTAATGTGGTATGCTTAGCAATTTGAGCCTAGTAGCTCTTGCTGGAATGCTCCCCAGGGAGTGGAGAAAGTGCATAAATTGTGTGCGGGCAAGCCAGAATCCGATGACATGGGGTAGTAACTGTAAATCGCTTAGAAACTTGGACTTGCCGACGTATTAAGCGCTTTATAAGCATAAATATTATTATTATTATTATACAAAACAGCTGTGCCACTTAACAAGTAACTGACCTCAAAAACTAAGTCAATTTAATAGAATACAGTGCTGCATGTCTTAACATTATGTTTGCTATGGAAGATAGATAAATGATACATTAATCACATTCGTCATTACCAAAATACCTTCCACTGCCTTTATCCTTATCATCATCATCATCATCATCATCATCATTATAATCATCATCATCATCATCATTATCATCATCATCATCATCATTATAATCAGCAGCAGCATCAACGTGATTACACCCTCAACACCACCATTAGTACCATCATCATCGTCGTCGTCATCATCAGCATCATCATCACTATTAACCGTGATAATGATGATGACAATGGTGGCGGAGGTGATGGCGATGATTAGATTCACATCTGTTTAATCGCAGTCTCGTGTCATAAACAATGCCAACTTTTCTCAATCTTTCATTTCCATCTACCAAACAGTTTCCTTTTGTTGGGTCAGATGTAATGGTACCATGGCAACGTACCGCCTGTCATGGTAACAATCAAGCACTTTCCTTATACAACCTATGCAACTACATCTATAACCACCCGAATCGTCTCCAACTGATGTGTTGCCATGCTGATATGCCTTACCTAAACATGGGGGCCCCCGTCTGCACCCTAACTTTGAAATTCTTCCTCCAATCCTGATTCGTCTGGGACCCCGACTCCAAATTCTTCTCCTTCGTTTCATCGCTTCCTTCATCGCTTCCTTCACTCTTCCCATCATTACTACCACTTTGCTCTTTCTTATCCAAACTATTGTCGTCCAGTTTTGTCTCATTTTCTAATTTTTCTTCGAGTTCTATCTCGTCTTCTCCTGCCAGCTCTATTCCATAGTCTGCGTCAGTCACCTGAATTGTCACCATTCTGATCCGACTAAATGAGTCCTTATTCAAAAGAAGAGTTTTAAAAAAATGAATGGATCTTCCGTGTTTGCAAAACAAACGCCCAGAGTTGGTTAGTTTGATACAAAATTGAATTCGTGTTTGCACGTTTCACGCCAACATCCACCTCGGCATACTAGAGAAACAAAAGTTTCTATCAACCACAAAAAGCAGTAATTAAATGATTAAGATGCGCGTAACAGTAAAATGTTGTGATGCTGCGCATACAGATTTCGAACCGACGAGAAGTGAACTGAGCTAGACGCCAGCTAGTTGGAAGAACGTGAGAAGAGATACTTAATTAGCTGGTGTTAACTGCATTGTTGTGTTGCGCGTAGATTTCTCGTCAGACGCGGTTGGAGACGTGTTGGAGAGAGCAAAATCACAAAAAGGCAGACGACTCACTAAGTCGATATAGTATCGATATTCCTCTTTCTTTCCTGGATGCGCAAAGCGGGGCGCAAAGTAATATCGTTGTTCTTCGAATTCAAAGAAAAAGGTCCCGGCAGCTAACCCTCCTTAATCAAATATTGTCAATTATACTTCCATGTTGAATCTCTTATCAAGAATATCAATGTCATTATCTTGAAATTTCTGCCAAAGTAGTGACGGCTAGAGTACCCTTTCCTAGTGCTGTGCGTAGTTTTCCCCTAAAACGTTTTTACATGACGACAATTCCGTAAAAAGTAACCGGTGTTCAACTGCCGCGGCGTCCCTCCGATACTAATAAGCAGAATCAATCCGAATTTGATATACAAGACACGGATGTCTCGCTATATCTGGAAACCCTTTAATACCAAGGCAAAATAAGACGCGTGTTAAAGCGTGTAATATAAAACGGCGTTTAATGATACACGCTTAAATGTTACTGATAAAAGAAGTAAACTGATCCTATTTCCCATAGACACATGCGGGTCATTGTTCCTGCTACGGTATACTTTAGAAATATTGTGGGATTGAGTTATTACGTACTCGGTATACGATGGGGAAAGGAAGTTTTGTATGCTCATGTACTTCAATTGTTGAATTGACATTTCAATAGTAAGTTCTATTGCTTCGTCATTGGTTAATTCAATAACGCTGCACGAATAGCACGTGTGAGATACAGAGTCATGTAGTAAAGAAAGACAAAGATTTATACATATACATTATGTACATGTATGTATAAAGAAAGAAAGGAAGAGACAGGGATTATGTAACAGGGAAGAAGAGGGCAAAAGACAAAAGGAGGGGTACAACAAAATAATGACTTTGGACGAGTAAGTACAGTAAAGTAGCATAATATTGATAATAATATGTCTTTTTTACCTAAGGTAGCCTCATTTCAGTATTGATACTGTACAGTTCTCCATGAGGGCCCTGCAATATAATCATATTGTTCCCTGACCTTTAATCGACCTGCCATGACTAGGCGCTCAAGCATTCAAGTAATTTCTTTCTACCGGGTACCCATTTACTAAACCTGGGGGGAGAGTGGCAATTATAGATTAACATCTTGCCACAGGAGATTATATATCGCAAATTGCAAATTAGATTTTTGGATAAGGCATGATGGCTCAGTTGTAGAGCAGTGATCTTGTAACCGAGAGGTCTCGGGTTCAAACCCAAGTCAATGCGCTCGTGCCACGTTAAGGCATCAATCCTAATTACCGAGTCCCTCGGAGGGGACTTAAAACCGTCGGTTCCCTGGATCCTAACTCGCAAGTGTATACATGCTTTCTTAGAAGACAGGTTAACAATCATCACACATTACAGTGCCGCAGTGGGACTCGAACCGCGAACCCTTCGTATCATAGTCCAGCGAGGTATCCACGAGACCACGACACATCATGCTTATTCGACGCGCATGTATAAGGAACATAGTAAGCAAAGAAAACATATACATGTAAATGAATATCGTTCGAGAGAAAGGTTATTAATCAGGCCTATTTCTGATCACTGACAACATAATAAAGCTAGCCTAAAGCAAGCTCCGATCAGATCAAATGACGGTTGAATCAATACTTTCAAGGATATCCTTCATATTGTGTAAAAAAAATGAGCACATAAAATGTTATAGATTCTATATTTGCCCTTATATATACAATCTGCGTATCGAATGTACCTTTTCCTGACACTATACCCAAAGGTTAAATCGATTCCATTATATTCTTTAAATTGATTTAACATTGAGTCTATTTATTGACTTTCTAAGTTCGAGGTACTTCTAAATTGTTTGGACAATGTGAAAGAGAGTTGAATTCCTTACCGACTCCTTCAACTTGTGCATGACTTGTACCAATTTTCCGTTAGGTGCACAATAAATGTCATTGTTTGCTTTCTTCCGGTATTGTAATCAGCATTTCTCATATAATATTTAAGCATTTATGTAAGTTGTGATTACATCAAGGATGACTTCCCGCATTTGCTCATATTACTGTGACATCTGCGATTACAAAACAAGTTATTTAAACTTATAGCCCCATATTCTCCTAAAGTTAAATTAACGACGCTGCATAGTTTAAGCATATACTGTACGTAGTTAGTCCATGGTTTAAAACTTACCTGCCATAGTATACAGGAGGGATTAGAGCGCTCTGCAAGGTCACTGGACAGGTGGTTATCTCATCAACTCAGCTCTCAGTTAACATAAGAAAAAGAGGATCATGGTGAACCAATGGTCACCGATTAGGCTTTGGTTGTTATATAGAGGGCGCAAGTAGCTACAAGTAGTGCAGTGGGCCTTTAAAGGCAGGCTTTACTACTTCAGCGACAGGTGGCTATCTCATTAACTCAGCTCTCATTTAACATAAGAAAAAGAGGATCATGGGGAACCAACAGGCACCGATTGGGGAAGTTTTCTATATAGAGGGAGCAAGTAGCTACAAGTAGGACAGTGTGCCTTTACGCTTTTGTCCAGAAACGGGCCTTGAACGAAGGAATCTACTCTGAGGTCAAGGTTTTCCTTCTTTAAACTTGACCTTAGCCCCGAGGTCAGGTTTATCTGAATTTGAAGACGACTGACCATAAACCTACCTAGTTACAAGGTCACGATCAAGGTCAAGATGGGATAAGATTTGCAGAAGATGGCGCTAGTCATCTATTCACGATGCTGTTCAGTATACTTAGACTCAGCGTCGAGTGGTACGACACCCTGCGACGATGGCTCCGCGTTAATTTCCTGCACTGTTTTACCGGGTTCCTACCCAGACCAAAGACTATATCTAACCTTAACCTTAAACCCAATCGCTACCCTAACTCTCAACATTGATGATATCGAGCCCGAAGCGATTGTTGCCTGAGTAGACTTCGGATTATGTTTCCATTGAACTTATTCGATATTACACCGTATATATATATATATATATATATATATATATACTAAAAATAATTTTTCATTCACAAACAAGGTTCTAAAGAAGATGTGAGTTGGTCTATATAGCGGTAATGTCCGTGGTAAGGTCAGCTTTCTGCCCTAGCCTTCAAGCAGACTCTGATTGGACCTAGGTTCGAACCTGGGTCATATTTTCAGGATGGTTTAAAGTCGGTCTCAGACGTAAACAACCATATCTCATTGATCGTAAACCCTCATTGATATGTGTCTGCACACAGTACCCATTTTCTATAATAAATGGTTGAAAGCATGCTTCTGAATAGCGTGGTTGATCCAATAACTTTAAAGCATGAAAATGAAGTAGACTAGAAGATTATGTTTATATGCTAATATGGTAAACATTTTGTTTTGCTGTGTATATGCAATTATTAAGTATCGTCTCGAGTTGTCTAATTCCCATGCAGAGCTCAAATGGTCTACCTCGCCATCTTACAGAGCATTACATTAAATTGTCATGGGATGGCGCTCTTGCACTATAGGTCCATTGTACATTATCATAATCATCTGATAATTACAACAAAACAATAACCATCTTGATTTACACAACAATATACAGACAGCGTATTGACAATGTGTAAATAAGTGTGTACATTGTCTACGTCGACGTTGTCTTTCAAAACAGGTCCTATTAAACACGGAGATAACTTTATGTGGGGGGAGCCCTATACAAGCACAACTTGTATCTAAAGAAACTCAATTATGGGGCAACGGCGTAGCAAGGACTTGTCTTTCAGTGGGGGGGGGGGCACTAGTGGGTTACCATTTTGTTAGTGGGAGGCACCGGAATTTCTTTTTTTGGTGAAGCGCGTTAATACATTAGCTTATATCAAATATTTGGCAAGGGAACGTAGCGACCGAGCCCCCCCCCCCCCAGGCTATTTGGCGTATTAAAACTTGACATTTTGATGCATTAGGGAGCTTATGATTAGTTAGTCATTCTCTTTTTCTGTGGGGGCACGTGCCCACCCCCCCCCCCCCCTCCGCGATACGACGGTGTTATTTGGGTCTTTAAATAATTGTAAAAGAAAAGAAGGTGGTGGAAAATAAAACATCGACAAAACATTTCATTAGGTTTTGAAATAACCAATAATGTATAATCCCATAATAAATTAACTTACTTATCATACATGTAGGTATTACCGCTTTGAATAAAGGCGTAGGTGAAAATTAAATTAATTTATTACGACTTCAGCCTAGGTAAAACAGTGAATGCAAGTAAATAACAAAGTTAATGCGAGTGAAAAGCACCGGGAGCTAAGGATTGCCATTTTGAACATATTCAGCAAAATAATCAATACAGATTTTGAACAAAAATAACAAAATGAACGGTTATACCACAACGAGAGGCTTAAGAAGTCAGCAGGTGGATGGCTTTGGAGCAGGTGACAATCAAAATCAAAGATTTATAAGCTATGAGCAAGAAAACCAAAAGTTCAAAGTTTTAAAGGATTTCACTCTAACAGTGTCCTAGCCTTCTTGTTATCAGGAAAAGGTCTTTTGATACACAGTCTCGGTCAAAAAGATTGTAGTATACACATATCGGAAAAGTGAAAGTCGATAATTGTATCTCTGCCAGGTGGAAGTCATTTATGCCGCGTTTTAAGAATCCCTTTTTCTTACACAGTAAGCATGCAGGTCTACTTGTTTTTTCAAGACCGAAGTATACATATTCTATGGTTTTATATATATATATATATATATATAGATATATATATATATATATAGTTAAGTTCAGAAAAGTTTACTCTTTTCCAACAAAAACACAAATTTAAATGTACATTGTATATAGGCAAGTTACAGTTTTAATGATCGAAAGACAATTTCAATGACGATGAATACACGAATACCGAGAAACGCAATTAATTAATAAGGTCGGAGTATTATTAGTAAACAAAGTAGTAATGATGAGAAGGAAGTGGGTGTTGTATTTCGGAAATGACCTGAAAGGCTCTTTATCCATTTTGCGAACAGATTAATTGCATTAGAATATACCCCCTGACCATGATTAACTTGATATATCTAGAACACTGCTTGTATAGATCAGTTTATTTCGCTATTGCTGTTGTGACTTGTGACTGTTGTTTTATTGCTCAAAAATCCTTTTTGTTGTGTTTTTTGTAATCATTCCACTTCCTTCTTCTCTCGGCACTTCTCTCCCCCCCCCCCCCCCACCATCTTTTTCTCCCTACGTTTGCCCCCTCTCTGTCTGTTTCTTCTCTCTCTATCTCTTTCTGCCTGTATGTCCCCCACCCGGTCTCTC